AAGTACGAAGCAAAAAAAAATTAGATCTCACACAAAATCGAGACAAGAAGTCAGCTTGTATTGAGTGTAACTTTACACTAAATGCCTCATATCGTAAACGTCCAAATTTGGTATTTGTTAACAAAGGCACTATTTAATATAAAGTTAATACCATTACGTTTGTATTCTAAAGAAGGTCTCATATTGATGAATGAAATGCAAGAATCATCTATTCGTATAATTCAAAATGAAGAAGAATTACTTTCAACTGAAACTTTTCAAGCATTAGAAAATATTTGTGGACGAAATGTTTATGCTTCACCTGTTAAAGATTCAAAAAAAGCATTTTATGGATATGGACTTGGGCTATGTAAGAAAGCTATAAATCTAGCAATCATAAACAATTCTGGTGAAATTTTTGAAGATCTTCTGCAAAGATTTATAGAACAGCAAAAACTTGTACTTTCTACATGAAATGAAAATTTAGACGATATTGAACAAGATACAAATCAAGAAATTAATACTTTTATGATTTCAAATCCACTACAACATAAGGGTAAAGGTCATTCATCAAATAAAAGATATTTGTCAGCAATTGAAAACAATACCATGAAATATTCTAAGTCAAATCATCATGATGAACCTGCAGAAGGGTCAAAAAAGAGGAATAAAAGGTAATGTTCGTTATGTAAGTCATGGTATCATAATTCACGCAATTGTCCTTTGAAAAATAAGCCTAACTTAGAAGACAAGACTTGCAATGACAAAGAAAACGTATAAAGATGATTTTTTTTTCTGCTTTAGCATTTGTATAATGTTATAAAAATTGGTTCAGAAATTTAATAAAATTTTTAGAATCATCTCTTTATTATTTTAATAAATTTTAATTTTGCGATCTTAATAAAAAAAATAAAATTCTGATTGTGCTGATCACATAATTGTTGAGGGAGGATACTGATATCTGGGGTTATAAATAAAAATGTTCTTTAAAGTATTTATTAATCACTTCTTGGATAAAATTTTTCAAAATATCAATAACTATTGTTGTAATTATAAATATCAGAATAATTATATGATATAGATAAATAATATACCAAATGGAATAAGAATAAACATTTAATTAAAGGATAAATAATTAGGAGGATAAAATAATTTATATGATGAAATATTTATTGTATAATATTTATTTATAGTTACATTTATTTATAGTTATATTTATTTATAGTTAGTTATATTTAAAATAGTTATACAGTTAAACCTTGATATAATGAACTCTTGATATAATGAATTTTTCAGACAACTATAATAAATTTCCCTTACTATAACAAATTAACCAATCAAATCTCTTAAAATCTTTACTATAATCTTATAAGTCTGGATTCTAGGGTTCGTTATAACAAGAGTTGACTGTACAGTCAAACCTTGATATAATGAACCCTTGATATAGTGAATTTTTCAGACAACTATAATAAATTTCCCCTTGTTATAACGAATTAACCAATCAAATCTCTTAAAATCTTCACTATAGCTCTATAGTGAAATTGAGGTCTAGAACCTAGGGTTCGTTATAATAAAGGTTAACTGTATTTATAATAGTTATTATTAGCTTAGTTACTTAAAGAAAAATTATAATAGAAAGAAAGACAAATAAGAATATTTTTTTATTTTTCTTATTTGTAATACTTGGTGAAATATGAATTGTTATAAATATAGATAGAATTCAGTAGGAATTCCATAGTCATGATTTTTGACTCAATTAATAAAGATAAATATTAATAATAAAAAGTAATACAATTTACCCAACTTTATTAATGTTTACTTTATTAAATAACAAAATATGGAAAAGTTTTTCAAGTTTGAAAATAATGTTAAAGATAATAAAATATACATCAGGAAATTTATTTAGGCGTAATTTAGTGTAATATTTCGGAGGTGGTGTAAAATTTCAAAATATTACACTAAAAACGTAATATTACAAAAGTTTACGCTTTTAAATTTGAATAATTATAGTAATTTAAGAATATTTTGATATCTACTGATCCAATCAAGACGATCTATAGCTCATTGGAATCAGCTCATCAAGACGAATCGAATGGTAGTAAAATCATATCTCTACGTTCGATAGATGACTTTCTATTAATTTGAAACATTATTGCATACTATAGAGCGTTCTATCAACTGTAGAAATGCGATTTTACTACCATTCGATTCGTCTTGATGAGCTGATTCCAATGAGCTATAGATCGTTTTGATTGGATCAGTAGATAGCGAGATAGTCTTAAATTACTATAATTATTCAAATTTAAAAACGTAAACTTTTGTAATATTATGTTTTTAGTGTAATATTTTGAAATTTTACACCACCTCCGAAATATTACACTAAATTACGCCTAAACAAATTTCCTGATGTAGGAGAACTATTAAAGTTTAAAAGTTAAATAAGTAATAAAATCTAAACTAAGCATAATAAAATTTAATTAAATGTAATAAATAAAATAATTTTGATAATATATCTTATTTATCCATGAGTGGTAGACATGGATGACAACATACTAGATAATTTTATGATTAAAAGTAGTATAACAATACTTAAAGATGATTACTATATATTGAATTTGCATTTTAGTTAGTAAGTGTAATTCAAATATTTGAATATAACTAATCATAATAATTCATTTTTCTATTAATTTTTACTAGAAGTTTAAATCCTTTTCTTAAAAAACAACCCTATAAATTATTATGCCTTCACTATCGTGTTTTATTGAAGAAACCATATTTTTAATATTGAATCTTATTTCAGAAGTTTTCTAAACATGACCTGAATAGAATTCCAGACATTACATATACAACTCAGAGGTTGACTTTTCGCAAATTGACCCTAAATTTCAAAAAAAATCAGGTTTTTTGCAATTATCTCAGCATCCAGTAGTCCAATTTATGTAAACATTTTTTTGTTTTATAGCTCTCATCAAGCTCTACAAATAAAAAAAATCCACATGAATTAGATTATACATGCCACCCAAATTATTTTAAGTTGCCGTAATTATAAGTAAAATTCCCAAATTCAATTATGGCTAAGGTTGCTTGCCGAAACCTAGGGGTTTAGGCAAGATGGCGTTTCGCCAAAAAGTGAAATTTTGCTGAAACTATATTAAAGTTATATTAAAAAACTGGTAAAACTTTAGAGAAAGGCGAAACTGCTGAAACTTATTATAAATGCTGAAACTGCCAAAACTCTGCCGAAATTATAATAAATCTATAGTAAAATTTTGACAAAACTAATCGTAGGATTTTGAAGAGATTTAGACAAGCAACTTTAATTATGGCATCCCAAATTATTTTGGCACTTTACATAGTAAATTATATATAAATTGAATGAATTACAGCATCCAAATTATAATTATGGCATTCCAAAATAATTTGGGCAGCATGTATTAATCGGATTACTGGATGCTGAGATAATCGCAAAAAACTGAAAATAAAAAAAAAAGCAAATTGGGTTTTTTTTTTGGCAAAAAGTCAGTTATGACCTATATAAGAGATGTCTGAAGTTCTACTTGAACCATTATTTTTAAATATTGTAAAGTGGCTTTTATTACTTCAAATAATTGAATTCCATTTCCTAACAGACAGTCTTTTTTTTTAATACATTAGTTTAAACGATTTTTTCTTTATTTATTATTAAGAAGAGGTTTGCATGCTAAAACACAGAAAAAATATTAAACTTATACAATTTCTTCTTATAGTTCTAGTAGAAACTTGCATTTCAGTTTTCTTTTGAAATTTATTCTTTATTTATTGAGCTAATTGATAACTATTAATTTTAACAATTTTTTTAGTATTTTTTGGTGTTCATAATTTAAAAGTCTTAAATATCCATTTTGTAACTGAGTTTTAAGACTTTTTCCTTCACAAAGTTTGAATAGTTTAGAGAATTATTGTCTTAAAAAAGCTAAGTATTTTAATAGTAAATGCTTTTAAAGTATTATTACCTTTAAATAAGCCTAATAATTTGGTTATATTTAACTTTAGATAAATTAAATATAGCATAAAGTGGTACAAAGTTCTATTTTATCAATCCCATTTGAAATTTATTTATAAATAAAGTAATAGAATATAAGTTATTATATGTTAAAATTTTAAACAAAATTATTATATACATACAGTTATAAGAATTAAGCTAAAATATGAAATCCACTACTTTTTTTTAGGTAGTATATAAACTGATTTTGTATATCCAGTTCAAAAATAAGAAATAGCGTCTGTATTCTGTTTTCTGTATCACTTTTATACTCCACCTTAGGTTAAGTAATACTAACAAATTTTCTACCCACATGACTTAAAGATATTCATCACTGGCATCACATTTCACTGTTTATATTTCGCCACCCAAAATTATTTTTCACATCCCTTAAATGTCACTGGTCACGTGGAGTAGAATTTTAGTTATAAAAGATTGTGTTACAACGGTAAATCGGCTTTAGACGACCCCTCAAAAATGGCAGTAAATTTGTTGTGCACCTATGTTTTGGTTGAAAATATCAAATTTTTCTAACCAAGAAAATAAACAGAGTGAATAAAATACCAAAGGTTTTATGTAAAGAATTGAATCTAAAAATTCAATTGCAACTAAAAGACAAAGAATTATATTAATAATTTCCATCTTTAACACAAGAAATAAGTCCATAAAGAGAGCATACATTCACTTATACGGTTTTGATTGTGTAACAGCAGGTTCACCACATATAACATTATACCAGTACTGTATAAATGATTACTTATGCATTGGTGTGACAATTAGACCTAGTGAATCAATAATGATATATTGCGTATAAATGATACCAAGATGTTTCGTTGATTAATTGATTAAAAAAAACCCAGAAACGTTTATAGTTTACAAGTTTTGTTTGTACGCACATTTAAAGGAAATGTTACACCGTCTTAATTAAGGATTTCAAAACAAATAAATTACAAATACGGTACTTGTTTTGTGATGACAATAATAGAGAGACACGAAACAAAAAAAAACACGAAGTCATTTTTTTGTTCATATTTTATACATTTTTACAGAATTTATTGTTTATGATGTTTCTATTATTTCATTATATTAACTAACCATTATTATATTTATTACTTACCTATAAACACATTATAAGCTGAGATTTTTTTACAGCTTAAAAATTCCTATCATGTAATTATAGTTATGACAATGTCTATCGAATTATTGTATTATTTACAATTTTGATTGTCCGAATTTATCTACAAAGTCCAAAATGGATATCGTTTCTTCAAAATGGTATTTCATAGCAGTCTTCAAAATAGGGATGAAAAAGGGCAGATTTTGCTGATATTCTACAACTAGGTTCGTAAGTCAAAAATCCCTATATAATAATAAAGTATAAAATTAGTTGCTATAAAATTTGATTATTTAAAGATACTTTATTGACATTTTTTTCACGTTACATCTAATAGATCAATTCCTTTATCGTCTAATTCATTAAAAAAATCTTCGAACGGCGTGGGAACCCAATATGGAAATGTGACATTGAAATTTGGAAGATTTGTCACTCCAGGCCAAAGCGACTCATTAGGAGTCCCGAGAAAACTACAAATCACGTGACACAACTTTATTATTTGCACTTTTATAATAATCGTCGATACAAAGCTTAAACATACGTAAATATCTTGAAAATTTGATCGATTTCACTATCGCCTGTAAACAAGTTTTATAATTGCGGTCAATAATTATTCCACATATTAATTGTTCGTTCACGTGATTATTGTAACTTACCTTTGAATAACGCAGCTTTCTTTAAAATTTCTGCAAAAATACACCCCACGCTCCACATGTCAACTCCAGTTGAATATTGCGGTGATCCCAAAAGAATTTCAGGAGCTCTATACCACAGAGTTACAACCTAATAAATGATAAATCGAATTAATCAAATATATCTTATAAATTTGCGGGTTAAAATTCTTTACCTCATGTGTGTAAGCTCTCATAGGAATGCTACACGCTCTTGCCAAACCAAAGTCGGCTAATTTCAAATTTCCATTAGAATCAATGAGTAAATTCTGAGGTTTCAGGTCACGATGAAGTATGCGTCTGGAATGGCAATAATGAACGCCACTAACTAACTGAAAAAGTAATTTCTGAAAATGTGAAAATAAAGTGGTATGTTAGAAGAAATTTAAAAGATTTCAATTGTAAAATCTGTATCTATCGGGTTTCTAATCATAATTACTTTTATTATCTCGGTTGAAAATTGATTTGGAGTCATCTCCATGTATCTCTTCAGATCCATATCGAGATATTCAAACACAAGATAAAGTTTTTTATCCGCGTGAATAGTATCTAGCAACCTGAAGAATGATGGAGTAATTTAAATATTTGTATCCCAACGGTAAACGATAAGTAGTATGCTGACATTAACTGTAAAATACGCGTCATTTTTACGCGTCATTTTATCTTTAAATTAAATTGAGATAAAGTTTATAAAAATAATATGCTTACTTTACAACGTTTTTATTGTTAGTTTCTTTCAATATTGCTATTTCTCGCATAGCGGTGCAGGGTACACCCTCGTCATTCTGAGACTCAAGTCGCATTTTTTTTAAAGCAACGACCCGACCTGTCTTCTTTTCTTCGGCCTTGTAAACAACTCCGTATGTTCCTATAAATGAAGAGTTTTGAAAGGAAGTTTTAATATACATATATTAAACTTTTTCCTTCGTGCAATATACTTATCCTAATTAAATTTACCTTCCCCAATCTTTGTTATATTCGAGTATTTGTCGTTCATTTTGACAGGGTTATACATAAGAAAAGTTGGTATCGTAAGTGAGTAAAGTGAAAGGAGGATAAAGGGAAGGACAAATGAAATGAAGATTATGTAAATCTAATTCATCGCTTATTCGCTTATGAAGGTTCGAGACGTAGAAACCCAATTTGGAATGATTACACGCGAAATTATGTATAGAATCTATAAAGACCTTCACTGATCATATTTCTCATATTAAAATAATAGATCACATATTCTATGACGGTAATTAAATTTATAATCCAAGATTTATAATAATAAGATAAATTAATAGATTATCAATAAAATTTGTTCATTACGATTCTCCGAAGTTTAATCACGTGACAAATCCCAATAATGTTCATTGGTCCGAAGACGGCCGTTCTTTTAATTTTTTTTTTTTTTTTTGACAGCAATCTATAAATTAGAGATTTACTTTAATTAACTCCAGCCGGTTAAAAACAGGTTTAAATAGCCCGCACAATTGTTTGATATATTTATGCATGTAAAAAAAAAAAATTTCAACCCCACATTTGGCCATCTCTAAAATGTACTGTATACCTTTTTCTGTTTTTCTCGGAATAAAAAAAGCATGAGGAATACTTCTATAAAATATCATACACAAAGTAAATATTCTCCAAGTAGCTAAAAACCGCTTTTTCAAGATTAAACTGGTTTACGGAAATTTTAAATTTGGAAATCGTCTATCATTAGGTAATAATTTGCCGAATATATTCTTTTTCACTTTCGTAGCTTCTCATATGTAAATACCTGGAAATAAAATATCTATATTCAAAATCTTCACTCCTCAGTAATAATGATAAGTATTACATCTTTTACAATACGTTATTCTTTAAAATTAAACTCCTATAGTTCTGCTGTACTATCTGCGTTATAAAAAAAATATATTTCTTATTACAGTAATACGAAAGCATCTTTTCTTACATTACCTATTACTAAATTGTCTTTTTACCCAACTTCTTCAAACTTTATTCGTAATAGTCCGCAGGAACAAAGAACTTAAACAAAGAAAAGTCATACTCACGAAAATGTATCGTTCTTGACCTGTGCGACGGTCTGACTTGACCCGCATAATATATTTTACAATAAGGGGGATCAGGATGATGCTACTGGGAGGGTCAGGTCCGATACTTTTGCCACACGCACGCGCACACACAAGTTACAACGTGTTTTTATTTCCACTTGTAATTTCCGAAGGATGCGCCTACATCTTTTTTTTTTAAAGGGTAATGAAAATAAAGCCATTGTAAGTTACTAGTATATAACACACGTGATTTGTTAGTTTGGCCCGAATTATAGCAAAGTTAGTAAATACGGTATACAGTATATATAGTTTGCTAAAAATATATTTAATGATTATATAATATAAAGGAATTTATAAAGTTTCAACCTATATAAAAATAGTATTAAGTTTTTTTTTTTTTTGAAAAAAAAAAAAATTCATATAAAAAATTTATTATTATACTACTAGTACTTATTGCTATTTTTAATTGTTATGTGATTTTTGTATTAAAAATGTGAGTCATCTTCTTATATATATATATATATATTTTTAAGATTTAAGATTAAATATATATATATATATATTATGCAATTATATTAATATTTTACAAATTAAATAATTTTTTCTTTCTTATTAAAATTGAATTATTGAATGGTAAGATAATTGCAAAAAACTCTTTCAATAAATAAATGATTATTATATATAATTTTTTTAAAAAAATGTAATATTACCAATAAGATATATAGTGTCACCTGATTTATAGGATTTCCATTCCTAATCAGGTGACGTTTTTTCATAAAATTCTAAGGAAATATTTTTTTATTATAATTATGGACAGAAAAATATTAAAAATACTATAAATAAAAAATTATTAAAAAATGACTATTTTTAGTAACTTAAATTTACTTTAGTATAATAATTTAATTAGGTAATATAATTTTAAAATATATCAAAAATTTTAATATTTATTTTCAATTATTATTATTTTCAACTATTTTTTTAATAAATCTGCTTTTAATTAATAGTTTATTAATTTTAAAGATATTTATTTATTAGCATTTTAGCGTTGTGCAATTCCAGAAGGTATTGGAAAAAAATGGATAACTAACAGTGTTAGCAGAACTTCAAACAGATAAATTTGTACAAGGGAGTTATTGTTTCAAATTCCTCTTCGCTTTAAAAGCATTTCAAAAGAAATGTTATAGTGCATGTCATGACATTAGGCTAGTTCGATTAATTTGGTATAAAATTTTTCTAATTATATGCCGGTTAACCCTGTATCATATTTATCGTATTGTAGTCGATTGATTATTTAGAAGTTTCTAATTCTTACTATATAAAAAAAATTTCCAAATTGTAAAAAATAACGTAAATATAACCTTTAACAAGTATGTTTAAACCGAACTTTCCTTTTACCTTTACCGTTAAAGTAAATAATAGTTAGGTGGTTTGAAAAATTTTTGTAGTTAAACTTTGTATAATAAAAATAGTAAGGAGGTAATGTTTGTAACAATAACTTGGTTAGTTATATTAGTGTTTTGTTTGTTTTGCACAACCGATTATTTCTTCTATATGTTTTTTCTATCGATATTTATTTATTTTTAATAAACTCTTTTACTTATTTGAGGAATAAGAAGCTAATATATTTTCCCTGTTATTTTATTTATTTTACATATTATTTGGACAACCTTACTTTTTTTCCGAATCTGTTTGACCATTTGTTTCCGAATGTCAGATACAAAAAATTATTAAGCTTGCAAACACCAGTTTGTAAAATATAGCACAAAAATATCAGAAAAATTTTAACTTTCCTAACGATCAAAAAAAAAAAAAAAAAAAAAATTTTATTTAAATAATGAGACTTGCTATTTTACGGATCATGACGCTGAAAAATTACAATAGCCAAACCAGAAGGAATAACAATGAAGGGTCAAATAATAGTATTTCTTTTATTCTTTTCTTATTACTATTATTGTTAAATTCACCGGTAACTTCTGCGGGAATTGGATCTGTATCGGGACCAAGTATTCAATTAGATGTAGTAGAATATGTTATAGGTGTAGAAAGGAGAGCCAAACTTGCTGAAGATAGTCCTACACAGGAATATGAACGAGTTAATTTATTGGAAAATAGTGTACCTCCGACAAAAGACGGGACTCAGGTAAATGTTAAATCAATAAATATATCAAAAATTACTTTTTTTAATATATTTTGGATTTTCTTCTATTCCAGGGAATTTTATTTGAATTGTTTCAAAATTGTGATGATATGAATATAACAATGATACCAAATGATGTAGTCAAAGAAATTCCTTCAAGAATGGCACTAATAACAAATCCAAATTGTCCATTAATATCGCTTAATTCAGCACTTCAACAAAAAGTCACAGGAGCTATTATTATAGCAAATACATCAGTTATATCAGATCAGCCTTCACCGCCAAATATTCCTCCAAATACATTTAATTTTCCCATATATTATGTAGTTAACGCTGCAAATGGTCAAGAAATAAAAAAATTCTTACTGGATAATATTTATTTAAAAAACGTTACAGATCAAAATGGAAATAAAGAATTATTAAAATATCGGGTTAGAGCTCTTTTATTACCTCAAACTTCTTTCTTTCCTGGAGTTTGGGAATTCACATTGATTATCGTCGTTGTTTTACTAGCAGTATCATTTATAACGTCTGGTAAAGTTTTCGAGCAAGTAAATTTTTTAACACTTGATACATTAACTTAATTAACTTACAAATTTTCTTTTGTCACTTTATAGTTGCTATGCATTGTCACCTTTATCGACTACGTCGTCAAAGAGGGAGAGAAAATAATGCTAGACCATTTGCCTACCATATGAAAATAACAATAGATGATGATATATTGGCAACTTTTCCAATTAGGACTTACAAAGAATCTACAACAAAAAATAATGAAATTGTAGAAAATCAATCAAGTGAAGAGAATAAAGATACGCAAAACCAAGATGATGTCACGAAAAACGAAAATGGTGATGTGAAACCACGAGACTCATCAGCAACTGCTCCACTTGCATCTGAAATTGATAACAAAGAAAAAACTGACACAAATGACAAATTTGATCAAAAGAACACTGTAGCAATTAACTTACCAAATAATGCGTCGGTTGATACACCACCACCTTCTATTTCTTCGATTCTTAATCGTAAAGTATCAATTAAAGCAGACTACCCAACCGCTTTAAGTCGTCATGTGTCTGTGAAATCTCAACGTGCTGCTCTGAGTCGTCATGTATCTGTTCGTTCAGCTCGTTCAACAAAGTCTACGCGTTCAGAAAATGCAATATCAGCAGCAACAGCTCTTTGTGAGGGGTCTGGTGTTAATGTTGATGATTATGATTCACAAATACATTATAATACAATGTGTGCTATATGCTTGGATGAATTCGAAAATGGCGATCAACTTCGAGCTTTACCTTGTGGGCATGAATTTCATTCTGAATGCATTGGTAATCTCTTTTATATATATATGTTTTTTTTAGTCATTTCGTAATATAGTGAATGAATTCTAATTTTATTAAATTTAGATCCATGGCTTACGCAAAAATCATCACTTTGTCCGCTATGTAAATTTGATTGTATACCGGAAAGCAGTAAATTGCAATATGATTCTGAGACAGTTTCATTGAATACATCTACTGAAAATAATAGAAATTTCATAGTAGCGGCACTTTTAGCTTGGTGGCCTATTGCATTTATTCGTGCAAGGTTTATAAGGTTGAGAGATTATCGAAGATCGAGTAATGCAATTGCTGATGATTTTAATACTACAAATCATCAACCGTTTACACCGCCACAAATTTCAGAACCAGAAATTGCTAGAACGGCATCATCGTCTAGAAGAATTGAGATAGTTACTCCCAGAATGAATAGATATGGCAGCGAAGAAGTTTTAAGAGAACTTGCCATGCAATCTGGTTTATCTGGTTTAAATACTAGATAAAAAAATTAAACAATATTTATTTATTTTTGGATTTTTATTGTGGTAAATAACTTTGTTTGTAAATTTTGTAAAAAAGTAATAACGTTACTGTAATGAATAATTATAAGAAACTTTATTAGTTATATTGTACTTATATATTTTTTTATAATACAGAAAAAATCAATATTTAATTAAATATTTCAAATTTGATCCAAAGAACAATTAACAATTAGAAAAAAAAATTATTTTTAATTTTATCACACGATCGATAAAAACTTATCATATATAATTATATAATTTAGAAGGTATATAATGTGTACATGATGTCAATTATATATTTAATAGTAATTTATAATTAATGGAATAAAATTGCACGATATTTAAAAATATTGGGTATATGTCACATGATCTATATAATCCCATAATTCAATAAAAAAAGATAATAATAAACTTATTAAAGTTACACACGATTCTCTACTTCATTCAGTAGGAAACTTTACCTGTTTGTAGCATAGCTACAACATGTATTTTTTCCATAATGATGAAATACGGGATAAAATTTTTCTGATGAATATGATTAAGGAAAAATCCTGGCATCGTGATTGCCGTTTCTGAAAATATCTGAATGAAGTTAATTATTCTTTTTATGTTTTTTGCAAAGCTTATATCATATTGAAGTTACGCAAGTTATCAAACAGTAAAATATAATGGTACTTGATCATTATTATCTAGCACAATTTTTCAGTAAGATTGCTTTATATATTGTATAAATATAATATCAAATGTTATTTTATTATTATGTTTTAATTTACACTTTTTCTTACAGGAATTTGTATCGTCATACCATCATAAGTACAAATTACTTGATCATTGCCATTGCCAAAAGATTCAATAGCGGCTTGTTTGATTTCATTCATAATATTTTCATTGTCACTTCTGTATCGATGACTAAAATGATTTAAAAGTAATTTTTGTGCATTAATTTTAGCAGCAAACTTACCTGCCATTTTAGATGTAGAATGACCTCTAATTAAGAAAAGAAAAATATTTAAGAATTAAAAATAACAAGATTTATGAATAATATAACATCACTTACTTTTCAATTGAAAGTTTTTCTACTTGTTCGTAAGTTGTTCCTTCAGAATCATCAGAAGTTAATGAATTAGTAGCTTCGTGAACTAACACGTCAGCATCCATAGCTAGTTTAAAAAAAAAAATAATGTAAAAGTACCTAAAATCAAATATTAACCAAAAGTTTTTATTTCATAAACTACCTAAATGAATTATTCCGGAAGGATCAAAAGTATCACCCAAAATAATGATTTTACGTCCGGGTCGTTGTTGAGGAGGTTCTATAATAGTTCCGTCTGGCATATTTAGGCTTTGATTTTGTTGTAATTTCTTTAATAACTCCATAGGATTTTTTAATTCCAAAGCATCTTTATTTCTCATTAAAATAGGTTTAACTAATTCAATATCAATATTTCCCGAAATTGGTTTTTCGTCAATAACATAACCTAGAGAAGGAATTGAATGTTCAATTGGTGCCGCTGAAACGATATAATCCCCCTCATCAATAACTTTCCACGATTTATTATTATTTTTGTCGATGGTCATATGGATGTTTTTTCCTGATTGTTCACTTGATTCAAAGAGTTTTCCAGAATCAATCGGATCATCAGGAAAAAGTAATTCATGAACAACACAATTACGATTAAGATGTGAACGTGTTAACGATAAAGAACTACGAACAAAATTTCGCAATCCAGACGGTCCATAAATCTCGATTGGTGGTCTCGCAGGATCCTCGCTTAAATTATTCGTTAAAGTACACAATAGTGGTGGTAATCCAAACACATGATCCTATCGATTAAAAAGCAATTCATTGATATTTTTCTTCTAGAAGTTATTTACAAATGTAACTTACTTACACCATGCATATGAGTAATAAAAATTTTGTCAATTTTTCCCCACTTAATATTCTTAAATTTATTTAATTGATGTTGAGTCGCTTCTCCAACGTCGAATAACCAAGATGTTCCATCAATTATCACTGCTAATGATGATGTATTACGAGTTAATGATGGTTGCGCTGAACTTGTACCAAGAAATTGTATTGATAATGATTTTGGCATTTCGTCGGTAAAAAAGGAAGAAATATTCACCTGACCATGTGAATTTGACGAGTAAATTTTCCACCCTCATGTGATTTATATAAGTCACTAGTGATTTTTTTTCTCCATGTAAAAATTTTTTTTTCTAATGGAAAGACCTTATACTTTACTTGCTGTGGCAAGTGTAAGTCTTTTAATAGGGTTTTTTTTTGGAAAAATACTAGGAAATTCATCCAAAACTTCGGTAAAATACAATTTTTTTCATAAGCCAATTTGTTAAGATAATTCTAATTTATTTATAGTATGATTTAGTTGATAGCTCCGATGAAGACGACTCGAGAAACATAACGTCATTGAAACAGATAAATCCAAATCATTTTGATGAATTCAAATTAGTAACTATTTTATACATATAAACTTCATAGTTCTTTTTCTTTTACTTTAATATTTAATATTTACAAATTGATTTAATATAGGTATTGTTAGTTCGAAGTGATCTGGGGATGACAAAAGGAAAGATAGCTGCACAAGTAAATTTGACATTTTTATTTTCTTAAGTTCATTATCCATTTTTTGTAATTCCTTATTAATTAATAAGGAATTCGTATTAATTAAAATAGTGTTCTCATGCAACATTAGCATGTTATAAAACTTTACAAAAAACGAATCCTCAGGTAAATAAATATATTTTAATTCCCATATTTATTGCCGATACTCATTTTTCGTTATTTTTTTATAGTTAATAAGGGCATGGGAAAATTCAGGACAGCCTAAAATTACACTAAAAGTTAACAATTATGATGAATTGTAAGTGATATGTATAATAAGAATATTTTATAAATTACTATTAATTTTGATGAATGAATGTATTTATAGATTGTCACTTGAAAAAAGAGCAATAGAATCCGGATTATGTGCGAGAATAATTCAAGATGCTGGACACACGCAAGTTGCTCCCGGATCTGCTACTGTACTTGGTATTGGTCCAGGTAATAATAATAGTATTAAAGACATCCATATTGGAAGAAATAATCTAATTTTTTTTTATTATTGTTTGTTTTTTCATTTAGGTCCTGTAGCAATAATCGATAAAGTTACAGGCCATTTGAAATTATATTAAATCTATGATATATTGAATAATTAATATAATTAATGTAATACAAATAATAATACTATTCTATTCTTTGGTAATATTCAAATAAAGAGCACGAATAGAATCGATAGTGCCAACAATAGCACCAAAAGCAGAAAAGACAAAAATAAAAACTACCCAAGTTTTTTCTTTCCAGCCATTAAGTCGATTCCAACCAAATAGTTTAATCCAAGCTGATAGAGGCATAATAATTAATAGTACACCATTACCAAGAGCACCAAGTAAAGACATAACATCAGCAAAATAAGGAAATTTAACTGCTATACAGACAGTAAATAGTACTGTAAGAATTCTTGTTATAGCTCTATATAAAAATTCACGATTTTTACCAAGTGTGGTAATATTAATTGAAAGAGATTCCTCAATTTCAAGTGCAAACGCTGTTTGATAAATTGGTAATGCTAATAAAATATGAATTGTTATCATTATTACAGTGATTAATACTGCTAAACCTGATGGAAGACTTTTATAAATTGGTGATAATGTTGCATCACCATATGTTGCATAGGCTGGTATACAAACTAATAGATAAAAAACTGTTACTGTTGCAGTGGCATAACTAAGCACTTTTGGCCATGCACTTGGATGTTTCATACTATATTAATATAGAATTAAATTAGATATATAAGATAATTAATTATAATATAAGGTATAATTATACAATTAATTAACATAGGAAATTACCTTGATTCAATATGAGGATATACGATATTTCCACCATAACTGAAAAATACTGTTGCTAAAGCTATAGGTATATTCCGAAGATTAATAAATTGATGTTCATGTTTATCTCGATTATTTGGAAATTCCACAATGGAGGTAATAAATACCACAAAAACGACCATCATTGTAGATATAGTCCCAAAAATACTTTTTTTTATAAACCAAAAAAAAAGAAAGGAAAAAAAATTTTTTTTGAATATACTTAATTAAACATAATTAATGAGATATGAAAAAAAAATTTTTACCTTAACCAAGAAGCTTCTTTCATAGTTTTAAGCATTACAAAAGGAATACACATTAAACTTGCACAAATGAAAATCCAAGTTTTCGTTTCCAAAGATATATCAAAAATCTCACTAAATAATATTTTAAAATTTTCTCCTGACAATATCAAATAAAGTATTGAACATCCCACACTTAATGCATTAAAGAAAAACCCAACCAATACTAATCCCAAATTTCCAAATGCATCATATGCCACTTGTGACATTGAAATACGACGTGATTTACCATCATGATATAGACATTCAATTAGTTTAATGTTTGCATATACATTCATCATTGATGAAAGGATCAAGAATAATATAGTTATCCATCCTCCTTGTTGTATGGCATACGGAATACCGAGAGTTCCTGATCCCGCAACAATACAGCTATTAAAAATAGAGATCAAAATAATCTTAAATAATCGTCGATTTTGATTTTAAAAAGAAAACTTAATCTTTACATGATATTGAAATAGGCGGACAGATTTGATCCCTTATCACGATGAGACTCTTCTTGCAAATCGAGATCAAGATCATCATCTACCACGTTGCTATCACTAGTTGCTACAAAAGGAATAGACCGTTAAATAAATTAAATAATAATAATTGTATGTATTACGTAGCATTTTACCTAATATCGTTGAACCATAGTTTTTCCATGGATCTCGTCGATTACTTAAATGCGATTCGGGATTCATAATTAATTTGGTGAAAGTGCGAAAATGGCGATGGGAGAAGGTGCAAAACAAACCCTTTTATAAACAATTTTATCTCATCCAAGCATTTTAATAATATCTTTATCATATTCTTAATTTAGTCATTAATATTGACGATTAAATTACACATGAAAAAAAAAAAATGATGTATAATTCCTCCTATCTTGCGCAATAAAGTAACAAATAAATGTTATTCAAGAAAATTGTATTCATATGATAAATGCTATCAACTGACCGATAGGTTACTTAATATTTAGTTAACTAAGCCTAGTTAATAAACGAATTTGGTAATCCATCACTATCATTGATAGTGTGTAGTCATATGATAGGCTTTTATGGCTTTTATGCTGCAAGATTACATGTTTGATTCATGTCTCCTTTTATGCATTAACATATTTAATCAACGAATAAAGAACTTGGCAGGGTCTAATATAGTATGTATTCAAAGTCTCGGAATCATTTCTATCCATGTGACCAACCATTCTTTAAAACAAAGTTTAGCGCATTCTAATGAATAAGTATTAAATTAGTTAAATCCCATCAAATATCCATCTAATAGTATCTTATAATTCATACTGAACCCCAAGTCTCAAAATTCCCAAAAAACAAATACCAAATTATTTTTGATTTATTACTAATTTGACAACCTAACTTGATTAGTAATTTATTTCTTTGTTACAAATAAAAGTCATAATTAAAATAATTTGAATTTTATACATTTTCCTTTTTTTATTCATTCCATAATAAATGATTTAAATGATTGGCAAATAATGGAATGTTCTGAATCAAATGCAAAATGCATTGAATCCAAAAAATTTGTTTTTCATTGATTTTGGTCCCTTTTTCCAGCATTCACCCCAATTTACCAAATTTTTGTATTACCTTTAGTTTTTCCATTGAAACCAGAAATGAACTTGTTTACAAAACTACAAGGCGTGTGAGAAAAAACCGCTGATCAGTCGCCATGAGTTAAACTGTTACACGATTGATGATTTTTAAAGATGTTCGTAAATTGTTTTTTAAGGCAAATAATATTTAGAATTTAGAATGACATTACAAACAATGAAGAGAGTAATTTCGCTTCTTCCCTCTGCAGCTGAAATAGTTGCATTAGTAGCTGGTGATAATTTAACTGTTCAGCTCGTAGGAAGAAGTCATGAGGATGATTATCCAGCATCAGTGAATAATTTGCCGATTCTAACTGCACCAAAGTACAATTCCAGTATTACTTTCTTTTTTGCAAAAGAATAAACATTAACTTTATTTTGTTAACTTTTTAGAACTAAATTTACAACAACCGCTGATGTAGATACACAAGTTTCTCAATTTCTCGCGCAGGGAAATAGTCTTTATACATTGGATACAGAAAAATTGAAGAGCTTAAATCCTGATATTATAGTTACGCAGGTATGAAGAAAATGAGAATAGGTAAGTGATAGGTCTTTTTTTTTTCTTTTTAGGTTATCGTAAATGTTGACCTTTTTTTTAGGATTTATGTCACGTATGCTCTGTTGATTTAAATATGGTACAACGAATCGCAAAAGAAATGGATCCGGGTAAATACCTCTAATTAAGCGTTTAAATTAATATTGTTCAATAACTAATTAAATTTTATTTACTAAAGTTCCGACCATTGTGGCTTTGAATCCTATGTCACTCGATGTAAGACTTTATTAAAATAAAGATTTCAAAAGTAAAATCTTATTCATTGTATTGTCGTTTAATTTTATTAGGATGTTATCAAATCAATTGATGACGTTGGCTCTGCTCTTGACATGGTTAACGAATCTAATTTAGTAAAGTCAAAATTATTATCACGTGTAAAATATGCTCGAGATATTGCGTTCCAAAGCCATACAGCTGGTAAAAAGCGCTCTCGTGTAGCATTCCTTGAATGGCCTTCTCCGATCTATTTAGGAGGTCATTGGACACCACAAATGATTCGTTGGAGTAATGCAAGTAGAGACTTATTTTTTTTTTTACAGACATCAACGGGAAGAACACTTAAATAAACAAGAATAGAAATTGTAACTTACATCTTTCATGCGTTTTTAATTTCAAAGGGAGTACAAGTGGTGAATGATTGTAAGGATGGAGAGACTGCTGAAATGGGAGCACCGCCATCGTATGTTAAATTTACTAATATAGTTTGCACTCGGTCATTGGCTTGCTTGACCACAATCTTTCTCCCGGCAGCTAAACGCTAGCATATATTTTAATATTACATAGGTTTCGCGTCCCACCACAAGATGTTATCGATTCTCATCCTGAAATTCTTATTATTTGTCCTTGTGGATTAAATCTTGAAGCAACTAGAAAAGAATACGAAGAAACATTATTACCTTCAGAATGGTGGCCGAAATTAGCCGAAAATGCCACCAAAATAGCTTTGGTTGATGGAAATCAGGCAAGTAATTCTTTATTTCTTTTTTTATATCAGATAATGATATTTTTTTTTTTAAAAAAAAAAATGAATAATCATTTTATTTTAAAATTAAAATTTAGATGTTTAATCGTCCAGGACCTCGTAAGTTTTCTTTTTATCAAAAATTTTTATATTTAATTATTCATCTTTAACAAATTTTATAAATTTTTGAAGGTCTCGTAGATGCATTAGAATGGCTTGTTGGATATATAAATGATATTCCAGAAATGATTCCAGGAAATTTTCCGTGGGAGAATTTAAAATCATAAACAATTCAAATTTTAAATATTTCATTTTAAATCCTTTCATTTTATACATTAACCGGGATTATTATTTCTCTCAAAATATATAACCCTTTGAGATATTTAAAATTCCTTTTGTTTGTTGGACACTTAATGATCATTGAAATTAAGTATTTAATTGTAAATTTGCAATTTAAATTTTTTATAAATATATTTAATATATAAAAATAAAGTTTTAATTCAAAATAAGTGATTTTTATAAGACGCTTTATAAATAACATCATAAAAGAATAAAAATCGATGCAAAATGTTTTGTTTAAATAGATTAACACAGAATCCATCAAAATTTTTATTTGGAATCTAAATGTTTTTGAATATAAATATTCCATAATCAAATAATTTATAATCTTTTTTTTTTTCTTCAATATCTAGGTGGTGCATACCTAAATTAAATGATATATATTTAAAGATTAGAATCATATATATATATAAACATAAATTTGTAAAATGAAACACGTACGCGATCTTTCTCGATTTAAGAGAAACCCATCTGTTTCGCTTAAGCCAAATTGACAAAATAGTCATAGCGGATAACATAATTATAGCCTTTATACCCATTTTTTTACGATCATCATGTTCAGGTTCTGCGGCCCAAGAAAGGAATGTTGTAACATCTTTTGCCATTTGAGATGTAGTTGCAGGAGTACCTTATCATCGAAATCAAAAAATTTTAAATTTCTTAATTTTTATTAAATTTTAAAATTTAACTTTTTTAACTCCATCAACTCACCATCATCATATTCAACCAAACCATCAAATAAAAGTCTTGCCATAGAAATTGCACCACCAGGAAAATAAGGGTTATAATTTAAGCCTTCACGAATTTCGACACCAGCCGGTGGATCATAGTATCCAGTTAAGAGAGAAAAAATATAATTCTAAATATTAAAATCAAATTATAAAAATTATATAATACCCAATAATTTATTAATTAATAATGTTTGTTGATAATGATTACATACGGCACCACCTTCACGGGCTTTAACTACTAATGAAAGATCTGGTGGAAGAGCACCACCATTAGCAGCACGGGAAGCTTCTTCATTAGGATAAGGTCGTGGAAATCGATCAGATAATTTTCCTGGTCTTTCAAAATAATCTCCATTATCATCTGGACCATCTTTGTATTCAAATTCCTCGGCCATTGCTCTCACTTCATCTTCTGTATGTGATACGCCCACTAAATTACGCCATGAGATATATTCGAGTGAATGGCACGTAGAGCAAACTTCTCTATAAACTTGATAACCACGTCGAATGCTTATTTATAACAAGATAACCACGTGATATAAAATAAAAAAAAAAAAATTTTTTTTAACCTTTTTAATATATAATTATTGTATAACTAAATCGGTCTTTTTTTTTTTCTCGAATATCAAAAACATCAATACAAATAAATCTGAACCTATTAAATTACTCAGAAAAAACAAAAATAATTCCTAATTCAAATTAAATAACTTCATATTTAGGTTCTATATTATAATCTCACCTGGCATGATCAAAGGTATTAAATGGACCAAAATGAGGCCAAGGATATGATGGTGAATGAAGTCCTTCATCTTCCATACCGGCATGAATAGGATTGACATATAAATAATAACCAATGCCTGTTGCTGTTGCTACTGCTACAGCTGCTGTAGCAGCAACAGTTTTTGAATTCTAATCAAATAAATTTTTTTTTGATAATAATTATATAAAAAAATATTATAATCTCGAAATTATGAAATTATGATCAAAATCAAATCATTCATTCAATCAACCATTCAATTGGATAAAATTTTTTATTCATTATACAAAAAAGGTTATTAAATTTTTTTTTTTCTTTTTTCTTATTCTTTTTTTGTTGTTTTAAACTGACATAGTTACAATGTGAGCATTTTTTACATAACTACCTAGACCAATAAAATTAATTTTGACGCTATAGAAATACGAACCGACTGACGAGCACTGGAAGTACTTTGAAAACCTCGAGCCTAAAATAAATAAAAAAGAATATTTTTTAATATGAATGAAATATTTTTTTTTCTTAGAGTATCCTAACCTGCGCAAAAGCATTAACCCATTGTTTCAAAGGTCTCTTTGCAACTTGACCCGAAAACCTAGCGAACATAACTTTTTATAATTATGCAAAAAAAAAGAAAAGAAAAATTATGGAACGATTTCGAGGAAATATAAAGTGAATTCGATTAAACTAAGCCACCTAGAAATGCTGTAATCTTTTTTTTTTCGGTGTAACATCTAAAAAATATATAATCATGCGATAAAAAAAAAAAACTCTCATCAATTTCCACATCAATTAAAATTGTCTCACAATATTGTTGTACATTAAAAAAAAAATCGGTTAAATAAAGAAAATGTCTGAACAGCCTCTTTCTGAAGAAAAAAAATTAGAAAATAAGGCTTCCGAATTAGAAAAAAGAAATAAAAGACGTTTTCAAATTGAACTAGAATTTATTCAATGTTTGGCGAATCCTTGGTATCTTAATAGTTTGTATTTATTTTTTTTTCCCCGTTTTTTTTTTTCGTTATTCTAATATATATGCATAACTTAATTATTCGCTTCATTTAGATCTCGCACAGAAAGAATATTTTGAAGATCCAGTGTTTCTTAATTACTTGGAATATCTAAAATATTGGAAACGACCTGAATATGCCAAATTCATAGTGTAAGGAAAAAAAAGCAAATTATAATTAAACGTTGTTATCATCATCATTATCATCATCTAAGCTTTTACCAATTATAATAGTTATCCACATGCGCTTCATTTTCTTGACCTTCTTCAGAACCCTCAATTTCGTGAACATTTAAAGAATTATGATGTAGCAACAGAAATTCATTCCAAACAATATTATCATTGGTTAAAATGGAGGCATGTAGAAGGAGGAAACGTTGAAGGAGGAAACGCTGGAGGAAGGAATGTTGGAGGAGGAAATACTGGAGGAGGAAATATTGGAGAAGGATCTGGTCAAGAAGATATTGAAAATGTAAATGGAGTACTTAAATGAAAAATGTCTTTTTTAAAGTATTGAATGGGTTGGATAGAGAAACAAAGAACGATTATTATTACAATAGATAATGAAATAAAAAATGCATTGAGTGACATGGTGTGATTACTTTTTTTTATTTGTATATTATTTATCTTATAGAATATTATTATTATTTTTTTTTTTAATTAATATTAATTAATGTGATTTTTTACTGAGGATAAGAATGTGCTTAGTGTTAATATTATTTAAATATTATAAGGAAAGATATTAATAAATATACATTATAAACATATCTACTATTTAAATCTTAGTTAATGAGGGATGCGAATAATAACTGTTTTATAAGATAATGCTCATCGGTAAGTGATCATCCACGTGTAAAAAGTATAGAGTAATTGTAATTAGGCTCTACATACTTATTAATTGATTGGTTTAGGCTTTATGTGCTTACTGCATCTTCGACTATGTACAATTATGATCTAGCTTGCAATTCTCAAAAGGTTCCTAAGGAAAGATATTATAACAAATATACATTATGAATATATTTACTATTTAAATTTAGTTATTGGGGGGATGCGATTTATAGTGTAAACTCAGATATCATCTGGCAAGTGGTAACTCGATCAGTATATTAGCATCACTCATGTGATAAAAGTATAGGGTAATTGATACTATCGGATACCTTTAATTTTTTCTGAAGAAGATATTTATATAAAATAGTTCACTGTGAGTCCTTTTTTGTATGTGGTAAAAAAGATACCACCAATCTTTTCTGAGGAAGATATTTACAGTATATAAAATAGATCATTGTGCAATAAATCAAGTCCTTTTTTGTATGTGGTAAAAGGATACCACCAATTCTTTTCTGAGGAAGATATTTACAATATATAAAGTCCTTTTTTGTTTGTGGTAAAAGGATACCACCAATTTTTTCTAAGATATCCAATATAAAATAGATCATTGTGCTAATGAAAGAATAAATTTATATTCAAGGATAGATTTTTTCAAGAACAGATAAATGCTTTTGTACCCAGATAAAGATTTGTATGGTACGCCGTTATTTCATTACCTCATCAGGATCATCATTTGTTTTAGTTAGCTTTTTATATTAAACATCATATTGATATAGTAAAAAACATGATGATACAATAAATTATGCTGAATGGTTGCAATATCCAATTATGCAGTAGGGCTCAGCTTGATATAAAAGTCAAACTGGACTGTAATGCAAGTCAATCGAGTATTCACTATCGAGTATCGACTGATTTGATCCCATCACTGGCACAATTCCATCGGCTTGTAAAGTCTAATTGAATTGACTCAGTTCCATCAATTTCAGTTTGTCCCATCAATTTGAAAAGTCCATCAGTTTGTCACATCAATTTGAAATCTAATCAAATTGATTCAGTTCCATCAGCTTGTCCATTTCATCAGTCATTCAATCCGTCAGTAATTGCCGAATTGAAATTACGGCATTACGAAATATGGATTTTACCATTTAAATATCTAATAAAACATCAAGATCAGCGTTATATATTTGGATTACAAATTATTTACGGCATAATCAATAAAAAATATTTACTTTCTTTGTGTAATTTTTGTATATATAGCATTAAATAATTACGGCATTACGATTTAATATATTACGGTATAAGCTAATTAATTTCGACGGCAAGTATAGTTCCATCATTCAATTCCGTCAGCTTGTTCCATCTATAGGTGCCGTCGAAATATGGATTTCACCAAATATCTAACAAAACATCAAGATCAGCGTTATATATTTACGGATTACGGCATAATCAAAAAAATATTTACTTTCTTTGTGTAATTTTTTTTATATTTTTGGGCATTAAATAATTACGGCATTACGGCGATTTAATATATTACGGTATAAGCTTCATACGCAGTAATTGATTCCGACGGCAAGTATATTTCCATCATTCAATTCCATCAGTTTGTCATCTGTTTGTCCCATCATTCAATTCCGTCAGCTTATTCCATCATTTAGTTCCATCAGCTTGTCCCATCATTCAATTTCATCAGTTTTTCCATCATCAGGTTTGTTCCCATCAATTTGAAAAGTTAAAAGTCAAACTAAATCAGACCACAACTCGAAAGGCGTCGTGTTAATTCTGACTGGAATTACGGTATATTTTTATTTTTATTTTTAATTCACAAAATGATCCGAGTTAAAGTAAAAATCACCGAGCCCGGAATCTTTATCGTCATTTTCGGGAGCATTAACATGTTTCTCTCAGATACGTTCTTTATTTATTAATGTTAAATTTGTAAATTCTAACGAGCTTTATGAGATGGCAAGATTTTGTAAAAATTTGAATGTATTGTATATTGTCAATTATTCACAAAACCATCCAGACTGTAAATGAGGTATATAGATAAGAATAGATAAGATGAAATTAACCAATAATTTATCTTATGGAAAGCAGGAAACAGACTAGCACAAGCTTACACAAATTACAGAATATAAACGAAGCTAAACTAGAATTGCTATCATCCAGCGAACACCAGACCCTAACTTTTTTTAAAAAGATCCAAGCTGAAACTGAAACACGACCGAATCAGTTCAATCGGTTCAGCAGAAATTAACCAATAATTAATCACGTGTTATTTATTCTACATACAATTCGATAGAATATTAGTCAGCCCATCAACTTGAACTGCTTTAACGATAAAATATATTGGTCCCATCACTTTAACTGCTTTAACTACTTTTTCAAAGATAAAAAAATATTAGTCAGCTCATCACTTTAACTGCTTTTTAAAGATAAAGTATATTAGTCAGCTCATCGCTCATCTGACTAACAAGGTTCACACTTCACAACTATCATAATACCATATCCAGTCGGGTCAAATTTTTTACGCTCTTCTTAACCAATTAAAATGGAATAAAATTATTTTGACGCGTTTCAGTTATTTTACACATGATATTTAATTCACTCATCATTATTTTATACATATAAATATTACATATATTACATAATAAGATTAATTAATCCAATAAAAAAAAAATAATTTTTTTTGACTTTGTTATATTTTTTGACCTGTTATATAAATCTGGGAAAAAATTACGCGAGAAAATTTTCACAAAAATAAATTAAATAAAAATATTTGTTTATTTTTTATTTTTTATTTATGTATAAAAAGGAGGTTATCAGGTTTTTTTTATATTTATTTATTTAAATTTTTTTTTTTTTTTTTGTGGCGTGATCGTACAAAAAAAATTTACCGCTTTTTAACGTACGTTATTTACTTCTTGTACAAAAAAAAACAACTTTATATTATTATTTTTATTATCAGATTACAGCACATTGAAAGTCCCCACACACATGATAATAAATATGAACACATTTTTCTACACAAAATTAATTATTTTGAAATTCAAAAAAAACTTCAAACAATTGTAGGGTTTTATTATGCATTTCATTATACACAAAGTAGTAAATATAAAAATGGTATCGTATGTTCGTATGTTGTATATATATTTGATATATTTTTATATACTAATTATATATTAATTATATATTAATTATATATTAATTACTTTTTTTATATATATTAATTATTTTTTTTATATTAATTACTTTTTTATATATTAATTATTTATATCAATTACTTTTTTATACTTATTAATTGCTTTCTATATATCAATTATTTCAATTATTTCTTATATATCAATTATTTTTTATATATATCAATTACTTCTATATATCAATTATTTTTTATATATCAATTACTTCTATATATCAATTATTTTTTATATATCAATTATTTTTTATATATTAATTACTTTCTATATATTAATTACTTTCTATATATCAATTATTTCTTATATATCAATTATTTCTTATATATCAATTATTTCTTATATATCAATTATTTCTTATATATTGATTACTTTTTTATTATATCAATTATTTCTTTAATTATTTATATATCAACTTAATTATTTCATATATAAATTTAATTTCAATTATTTCTTAAATATCAATTTAATTATTTCAATTATTTCTCTGAATTACTTTTATATATCAATTATTTTTTTTTATATTATTTATTTTAATGTAAATAATGTAAATACTATGTAAATGTACATTCAATTTGTAATTTACAAACAATATATATTATAATATATAAAAAATATATATATATATATATTACATTATATCATTATACTTAATCAGTAATCACAATTTCAAATTTTTCACACTTTTTTACGACTTTTTCACACTAACAAACTTTAAATTATCGGAAGAACCTTTTATATAAATAAATAAAAAAAACCTTTTTTCCTCAACCTCCCCCGTTTTTTTTTAAAAAAAAAAATTTTTCGGCAAATTAGACCCTGCATATTGTTATTATTAACCATTTTGCTGTAAGTGTGCGTCATTGTTCTAAAAAAAAAAAAAATTAAATTTTTTTTTATTCAGAAACGATAATAATGCATGCAATAAATCGATAACGTACTTTTTTTTCTTACTTGTAAGACACCATTATTATTTATTATCCGTGGGTAAAAAAAATAAGACAAAAAATTATTCAATTAATATTTTTTATTATCAATTTATCACAATTGAATAAAAAAATTTTAATTTAAAAAATATAAATTTTTAATACCGTATTAAAAAAATTACCGTTGGAAATAAAAAAATAATAATAATAATAATAATAATAAATTTGATAAATAAAAAAAAAAATATTTACAAAATAATTATATATATTTATTTGGATCGACTTTTTTTTTAAATTAAAAAAAGAATTTCGATAATTTATTCTAGGTAACCAACATTTTGTAATGCGAATTTTTTAAAGAAATTCATCATATGAGAAAAATCCAAATACGTAAGAGAAAAAATAAATAAATAAATAAATGATAATAAAATAAAGAAAAAGAAAAAAAAAAAAAAAAAAAAAA